GGTCTTTGAAGGCTTCTGCGCTTCCACGCAGGCGCATGGCACGTACAGCACCTGCGCGATTCTCCGCAAGCAGCTGGATGGCACTTACAGCGCCTGCGCGAGTCTCCGCGAGCAGCTGGAGCATTGCGCAGGCATTAAGACGCATGCGTGAACTGCGCGCGTGCACGAGGACGCCGCCGGCCCTGTTCCAATCAAACCGGTTGGAACGGGATTAGCAGCCCACCCCTGTGGCACGTGATATATCAGGACTCTTTTCCTCTTTGCTAAACCAGCCATGGGTGTGGCCAGCATCTGATGCATCTGGCCTGTGGGCCGCAAGTTTGACAAGCCTGATTTAGACCATACTCAAATTTTAATTTTTCACATGTAAAGTTCATTTCTTACTGGGTTTCTTTGGGCTTTTTTGTTCCATTTCATTACTGTGAAATCAGTATGCATTTTTGGCAGTGATTCCTAAAACTAATTTTATGCATTTTATATGGTATATATTTTATGGTATAAAATATGTTCCAGGTCATCTGCCTTATTTAGTTTTTAATTAGTTTTTGTAGGTTTATTGTATTTTTATAATCTTGTTCACCACTCAAAGCATATTAGTTAAGATGGGTGGCCATCTATGTCTTAAATAAATGCTGTAAATAAAATGGAACATGCCAACTATGTAAATTTGTATGATTTAATGATGGATGGTTTTGCCATCTCTGACGGGAGCTGCACAGAAATTACAGTATCAACTTGAAATCCTAAATCAATTAAAGTACAAATAACTAAGAAAAAGAATCATTTATGCAGTGCAAACAAAAGATGTTGAAAACTGCTCCAGCAATACTTACAGTTAAGTACAGTTAAGTATTAAGTGGGCTACGAAAATACAAATCCGTTACTCTAAGTACAGGTTTCCTAATAAAAATATTGAAGACTCCAAAGAATCAAGACTTAAGAGGTTTTTTTTTATAATTTGCCTGCACCCTTGAGGACAACAATTTTCTATCCTGCCATAAGCAGCATAGACCCATGAGCCAAGATCAATCAAGCAAAACATTTTTATTAAATTTATTGCTAACCTTCCATTGGAGTATTACCATCTGGTCGATTTGCAAAAACCACATCCACATATTCAAGCTGCAGTCTCTGGAGAGAGGCTTTTAATCCTAGAAATGAAATGGCATCATTAGAGCCAAGCACATGACAAGAAATGTAATAGCTCAGAAGCATCATCCATCTAAGTTTTCCTCTAGGAAGAGTGGGGTATAGGTAAAATTATATTGCCTATTAAAAAGAACCAAATCAAGAGAAGAATCTTTCTCTCTTTTTGCATGGCTTCTTTCTGTCCATTTACTACGATGAAAACTGGATTGGAGAGCGCAAGCATTTGCCAGTCAATCCCTAAAAGTACATCCTCAAAAGACAAGGTTTAGAAATACAATCTGTTTTAAGTTACACTGAACAACAGGAAGTACTATTTTCTTGTTGTTGTTTTTTTTAATTTTATTTAAAAACATGTAAAATACACAAAACTTAGACATATACCACATTTACACAATACAATATGAACAGGAGTTTTCTGTTCTTTCTAATAGCAATTGCCAATCAATATTGCTCACCTTATATTGTTCCCCCTTCTATTATATTTCATTTGCATTTTACCATTCTTAACCCTCTTATCTTACTCAT